CTCTTTTATAACCAGGGAAGTTGAACACTTCTTCATGTATTTACTGGCCATTTGCACCTCTTCCTTTGAGAATTCCCTGTTTAATTCATGTGTCCATTTCTTCACTGGGGTGTTGATCCTTTGGGGGCTGAGTTTTTTGAGTTTCCTGTAGATTCTGGTTGTTCGTCTATTATTCAATGAGTAGCTTGGCAGAGGTTTTCTCCCATCCTGAGGGCAGTATTGCTTAAAGAAAACTTTAACTTCATCTGCCACTGCCTTTCTTCTGAAGACTGTGCCAGGGTCACATGCACTGAATGTGGTGGCTCTTCCAGGTGCTTCTCAAGTATTCTTCCCCGGGCTTCAGTCCGTCCTGCACAGACTGAAGAGTGTTCCGCTTTGTCCCTTCTTGACATCTTCTGACTCTGTTCCCTAAGATGCATTCTGTGTTGGCCTGTATTTCTTTGTCATAGGCATAGGCTCACTTGTGAAATAGAAATGGCTACTCTTACAACCATAATCTAGGGAAAAAAGAGCCTCATTTTCCCTTCTTGGCAACATGACTGACTTTGTCTGAAATGCTTTCCTTGACAAACCCTACACTACTTCTCAGAACTTTATCATTTACACTTTTCCAGGAAGTAGGATGGAGAATTCTGTTCAAAGAAAAAGTGTTTGAAGTGCAGGAAGGGTGCACACTGAGAAACACTAATAATTAACAGCCCTAGCGTCACCATTTGTACATTCTCTCTCATCGATGCCTTCAGCTGTACTCTCAGGCTTCATATACTGACACTCCTATTGGCAAGCTGGTGTGGGGGTTCCGAAGGTATAACCAGAACCTAGACAACATCAGGAACCAGCTGCCAGACAAGGTCACCCTGCCCTTCACTTCGTTTCCTGACCCAAGTCCGCCAAGATTTCTGCAAATATTCTGGGCTTTTATGCCCTCCTGAAAAAGCTCTGGGGTGTCCTAGGCTAAGGAAAGTCCACACTGCTCACTTTTAGTTTTCCTTAGTCATGCATATTTTAATGTGCTTAATAGTTTATTAATGTTCCTACATATATGCTAACAAAATTAAACCCAACTATTCATGGAAGTCAATATAATTATGAAATATTTCCACTGGTGTTTATACTAAAGGTTAGAAAACAACAGTATCATTTGCCTAATGATTACAACTTTTCTTTAACTCACTTGCTCTCTACTGGGGTGATTTTGCCCTTCAGGTGACATTTGGGCATGCCTGGATGTATTTCTGGTCGTTACAACAAGGGGAAGGGGCTGCTAGCATCAATGGGGATGCTACAGTGCACAAGACAGCCCCACAACAAGGAACACCCCTTGTTAAAGAAGGGTGCAAACCCTTCTTTAAATTTTGAATATGTTATTTTTCTTGCATTCTTTATCAGTCATTCTCTAGCTCTTCTTTGTGATCTTTTCCATAGTTAATGATAAATCTTAATATGACTAATTTTTACATTAATTTCTGTGAGGTTTGCCAAAATTATGTTTTAGAAACTTACATTTATTTTAAAATAAGTTATCCTTGGATCTAGGGACACTAAACAAAAATTTTCCATTTTATATTTTTCAGAAGAATCACATGTGTTAAGAACAGACCAAATTATTCCGGACCATGCTTGGCAAAAAAAAAAATTGTCTTTTGCCTTAATGAAAAGTAATTTGTTAAAAAAAAAATCAGCTAGGCACAGTGGCTCACACCTGCAATCCCAGCTACTCAGGAGGTGGAGACTGGGAGGATTGTGGTTCAAGACCAGCCCCAGCAAAAAGTTCATGTGACCCATCTCAATCAATAAAAGAAGCTGGGTGGGGGGTGAGCCTGTCGTCCCAACTATACAGGAAGCATAAATAGGAGACCTGGGCATAAATGCCTATTAAAAAGCAAAAAGGGCTTGGGGCATGGCTCAAGTGGTAGAGCTCGTACCTGACAAGCACAAGGTCTTGAGTTCAAACCTCAGTAACATAAAAAAAAAATTAAGATTTCTACTTTCAGGGAAAATACTAAGTATCTTTGATGTACTTGGGAGAAGTGCTGAAAATAATGCTTTCAATTAGTCTTTTCCTTGTTTTATTTCCAAATTTTACTTACATTTCATCCTTTTGCTTTAGAGTTAAAAACTGGGTGAGAAGATGTCAATTATTTATATTTGTTAATTTGAAGATTTAAAACCATTGGTCCTTTCAGATCAGTAGGCACACTTTTAACTAAACACATGGACATTAAACTTGTTTTACAAAATTTATATTTTGCCAAATGGGGATAATTAGAAGTAAATAATACTTAACCAGAATATGTATTTGGAATGAATTTTATCTTCTCTTTTTTGCTAAATGGTCATACGACAGAATATTCTACTTCTTGCACATAAATGCAGAAAGAAGATGATTTCGGTTTGAATTGTATTTTATACACGTATTGTGTATAAAATTCTCTTTGGTTTGTCGCACATTGTAACGCCAGATGCATTTGAACTTTTACATAAGTCCCCTTTTCTCATTTGTCTTTGTACAACCTTGAAATGTGCCAGTAAACATATTCGTTCCATTGCATATATTTATTTACTATGGTACACTTCACTCACGGATTTAAATGTGCAGTATTTCCCATTAGAGGTTAATGACAAAAATAAATTATTCTGCATTTTTCCCAAGTATCTACGCCAGAAGAGTTAACCTTTTCTTGTGTGTTTGTTTGTTGATGTTTCATTAAGAAAAATATAATTTGAGCTACAAATACAATTTAATTTTTTCTAATAGCCACATTAAAAGAAGTAGAGAATTTATTATATTCAATCCAATCTATATCAAAAATATTATTTCAACTGTAATCAATATATAAAATTATTAATGAGCTACTTTTCATTTTGTACTAGGTCTTCAGAAACTGGGGTACACTGTACATGTACAACATATCTAAGTGTTGATGCTAAGTATTCATTGGAAATTCCTGATTTATGTGTATATTTCATAGAATATTGCTGTTGAAAATGGATTGACATACTTACGTTGTTCCAGACAAACTTGAAATTGTCCCAACAAAGAGTCCCGTTCCTGACACGTGACACGCTGACAATTAACAGACTTCCATGGGAAGCCATGCAGACTCCAAAACTGTCTCAGTTTAAAAACCCATCAATTCTTATGTTAACTCAGTCTTATTATTTGAACTCAAAGTCTAAAAAGCAATTCTAAATTTATCAGTATCAACAAATCCTTCAAAATTTTCCTCTACTTTTTCAGCCAATTTACATAAAGATGTCAATTGCAATTAATATCTTTGCATATTCATTCATCTGTCAAATCACTATTATTAACATATATTATTATGCCTATACAGCTAAGTCACTAAACAGCTTTTTAAAATAACATGGATGGATATTATTTTCTAGTAACAGTAAGCACAGAGACTCTGTCATCATCACTGCAGAGTTTCAGCCACCTCTAGCCTGTGGTAATGCTACATTTCATTAGCCTGGAATTCTAGCACCTCCCTTCCCCAAGTAAAGGCAGGCCCACAGCTGGACACACAGCCCCCTCACCAATGGTCATGTTCCACAGTAGCAAGCTTGCATAGCAGGAGCCCTGGTTGTGACACATGAAGTTAAATGCATAATCTATTGCTTCATACCTTTTTTACACTTGAAATTTTAACTCAGCTCAAAAAAGAAACTACTTATTAAACAAGTCTTCCTGTGCTTATTTCCAAGTCATCCGGGAACTTCTAGGGAGAAAGAATTGTCACTAGACTCTTCACTGAACCCAGGCATCTATGGCTCTTGGAAAACAGCATATTTTTAGGGTTTCGTTTTAAAAAATTATCTGAGAACCCATTATTTCCTAAGCTGTTTACATCATTCACTATTCTTGTATGCTTTATGAAGTTTTGGATAAGAATTAACAAGTTAGAAGAAATGCTTCTACATAAAATCTTATAAATTAATTTTATAGCAGCATTATCCATAATAACCCCAAGTGGAAACAACACAAGTGTCCATTAGCAGATCAATAGATAAAATGTGCTATATCTATGTAATGGAATATTACTCAGCCTTAAACTGATGTGTGCTACAACATAGATGAACCTTAAAAACATGCTAGGTAAAGGAAGCCAGTCACAGTATATGTATTGGTATGATACCATTTCTGTTATCTTAGAGAACAGCCAAAGACTGCTGCAGAAAATCACTCAGCAGAGCTGGGGATGTAAGCCCAGTGGTGCCTGCCTAGCATGTACAAGGCCCTGGGTAGAGTCCCAGCACTGCAGGAAAAAAATAACTCAGCAGGCTGTGGTCATGAACCTGAAATGCATATTCAGTATTGTTCAGCAAATTTTACTTCCACTTGTCTAACTGTTCCATTCTGATTGTAAACCATTTCAAATCTCCTTTACTCTCAAAACTACTCCCATTTCTAACCTCCACCTTCCTTCTGCAGTTATCAAATGATGTTATCTTATTCTTCACACAAATAGAAATCTAATAGATAGCCAGTCTTTTAATCTCCTCATATTCCAAATGCATAAACTTAACCTGTAGTCCATTTTCCTTCTTTCCTGTTGCAAAAGAGGATGGATTCTCTTTTGCTTTATGCAGTTCTTACACTTGTGCTTTGGGGCTCATCCTACCCACTTTCTCAGAAATGTGACACCACTGCTGTTAACCCGTTCTCTCCTAACCAAATCTTTTCCAATAGCTACTGGACTTTCTCAAGCATCTCCTCTTAGCAGTACTAAACATTGGCCCACAGGACTGCTGGTATTTGTAGTTACTGACTGAAGTATGGCTGCCCTTGTACAAGAGGGAAGTCTTGGATAATAATTCAATTTGTTTGCCAACTTTGCCATTAAGTTAATGGCTTTTGCCATTGGATTATTATCTTTCTTAACCTGAAAGTACTTGTGTTGATTCAAATTGGATGGATTGCATTTTATTTGAACTTTTATGTTTCATTCTTTCAATTTTATGTGCAATGTGACATGTTTATGTTATGATTTGATTACTTGTTGTCTTTCTCCCTACATATAAGCTCACTGAGGACAGTTCTGTGTCTGCATCCCCAGAACACATAACAAGAGCGCCATAAATACTTGTTGTATAAATGAGTGGTGGAATGGAATTCTGTAAGACAGAGCAAGCAAAGGACTAACTATTGTTGTTTTAAGTAGGCTAGTTTATACATGTTAAATATTTTAAAGGTATTGCACATGATGATATAAAAATGAGCATTAGAAATTTTCAATGTTTTATGCAGGCCATGGAAGCTGGACTCTCAGAGGTGAAAAATGAGTTACAGTCACGTGATGATCTCTTGAGAATTATAGAAATGGAGCGATTGCAGTTACACAGAGAATTATGGAAAATAGGAGAGTGCCAGAATGCCCAAGAAAATAAGAAAAGGTACAGTTATTGAGTTTGACAGCCTAATGACAACAATGCAAAATGTTGCATTTGTATGCTTTTAAGAGTTTTATAATTGAAACTAGAATAAGCTCATTTTTTAATTACCATGTTGCTAACTAGTGGATGTTAAATATTAAAATTAAATTTTCATATGTGCAATTATTTTTACTTTATTAATTATTTTAATTGTCACAAAGTAATTGTGACATGTGTTTGTGGAATACAGTACATTTCATCATGTGTACATTGTGTGCTAATCAGGTAAGGGAATAATTGTTCCTCTTCTATTAGACCTTAGATACCAGTGTTTGACTTAAGGATATCTTCCAGTAGTGACATTTTTTTTTTTTTTAGTTTTTATACTACCTCTTTATTTTACCATTTTTACATTTACTTACATGTGTATACATTGTTTGTGTCGTCTCTCCACACCCCCACTTCTGGGAAGAACCTATTCCACCATCTTGTTCTCCAGTTTTGTTGAAGAGAAAGCATAAGAGATAATAAGAAAGACATGGCATTTTTGCTAGCTTGAGATAAAGATAGCTATACAGAGAGATTCCTAGCATTGCTTCCATGCACCTGTGTATTGCAACCCACATTGGTTCATCTCTGCCAGACATCTTCACTACTTCCTATTCCCCTCCCCATAGTGGCCTCTGCAGTTTAAGATTACTATATTTGTTCCTTAACAGGGGGCACATCAACCTCATTCAAGTTTTAAGTTTCCTTTCTTGTCCTTATTTCTCCTGTGTGCATTCGCCCCTTAATGTGTGACTCATGTCCAATAATATTACTGCATTTGTTTTGGGTCTATAATCTACATATGAGGGAGAACATGCGCTTTTTGGCCTTCTGAGCCTGACTAACTTCGCTTAAGATGATGTTCTCTTTTGAGCCAGGCTAACCTCACTCAGAATGATGTTCTCCAATTCCATCCATTTACCAGCGAATGATAACATTTCGTTCTTCTTCATGGCTGCATAAAATTCCATTGTGTATAGATACCACATTTTCTTAATCCTTGTTCCTTCCTATTATTGCTTATACTCTCTCTACAACAAAATTAGAGATAAGGGCAAAATAGTTTCTGCTGGGTATTGAGGGGGGGAGCGGGAGGGGGTGGAGTGGGTGGTAAGGGAGGGGGTGGGGGCAGGGGGGAGAAATAAACCAAGCCTTGTATGCACATATGAATAATAAAAGAAAAATGAAAAAAAAAAAAAAAAGATGTTCTCTAGTTCCATCCACTTACTTGCGAATGACAAAATTTCATTCTTCTTTGTGGCTGAGTAAAATTCCATTGTTTGCAAATACCACATTTTCTTCATCCATTCATCAGTAGTGGGGCATCTTGGCTGTTTCCATAACTTGGTTATTGTAAATAGTGCTGCAATAAACATGGGTGTGCAAGTGCTTTTGTAATAACCTGAGTCTCATTCCTTCAGGTGTATCCCTAGGAGTGGTATTGCTGGATCATATGGCAGACCTATGCTTGGTTTTTTAAGAAGCCTCCATATTGCTTTCCAAAGTGGTTGTAGTAGCTTACATTCCCACCAGCAGGTGTATAAGGGTTCCTTTTTCCCCACATCCTCGCCAGCACCTGTTGTTGCTGATGTTTTTGATAATAGCTATTCTAACAGGAGTGAGGTAGAATCCTAGTGTGGTTTTGATTTGCATTTCCTTTATGGCCAGGGATGGTGAGCATTTTTTCATGTGTTTTTTGCCATTTGGATTTCCTCCTTTGAAAAAGTTCTGATTAGTTCATTCTCCCACTTCTTTATTGGTTCATTGATTTTTAGGGAGTTTAGTTTTTTGAGCTCCCTGTATGTTCTGGTTATGAGTTCTTTGTCTGATATATAGCTAGCAAATATTTTCTCCCATTCTGTGGGTGGTCTTTTCAATTTAGAGACCATATCTCTTGTGCAAAAGATTTTTAATTTCATGTAGTCCCATTTGTCCATCCTTTCTCTGCATGATGTTTTTATTGCTATGGCTCTGTAGTATAGTTTGAAGTCAAGTATTGTGATACCTCCCGCATTGCTCTTTGTGCTGAGTATTGCCTTGGCTATTTGCGGTCTCTTGTGTTTCCAAATGAACTTTAGCATAGATTTTTCAATCTCTGTGATGAATATCATTGAGATTTTGATGGGAATTGCATTGAATATATAGATTACTTTTGGTAGTATAGCCATTTTTATTATGTTGATTCTGCTATCCATGAGCATGGGAGATCTTTCCATCTTCAGTAGTCTTCCTTGATCTCTTTCTTCAGTGATTTGTAGTTCTCCTTGTAGAGGTCATTTACGTCCTTAAGTTTACTCCTAAACTTAATTTGATTTTTTTGAGGCTATTATAAATGGAATTGTTTTCCTATGTTCTTTCTCAGTTTGTTCATTGTTGATGTGTAGAATGGCTACTGATTTTTATAAGTTGATTTTGTATCCTGCTACATTGCTGAAGCTGATTATGATATCTAGAAGTTTTTGGGTGGAGATTTTTGGGTCTTTGAGGTATAAGATCATGTCATCTGCAAATATGGATATTTTGACTATTTCTTTACTTATTTGTATTCCTTTTACTTCTTTTTCTTCTTGCTTTATTATTCTGGCTAGGAATTCCAGGACTATGTTGAATAGGAGTGGGGAGAGTGGGCATCCTTGTCTCATTCCTGACTGTAGGGGAAATTTTTTTTCCTATTAAGTATGATGTTGACTATAGGTTTGTCATATATAGCCTTTATAATGTTGAGGTACATTCCTTCTATTCCTAGTTTTCTTAGAGCTTTTATCATGAAGTGGTGTTGAATCTTATCAAAGGCTTTTTCTGCATCTATTGAGATGATCACAGTGGTTTTTGTTTTTGCTTCTGTTAATGTGCCATATTACATTTATTGATTTGCATATGTTGAACCATCCCTGCATCCCTGGGATGAAGCTGACTTGGTTATGGTGAATGATCTTTCAGACATGTTTTGGATTCGGTTTGCCATTATTTTATTGAGGATTTTTGCATCAGTGTTCATTTAGGAGATTGGCCTGTAGTTCTCCTTTTTGGATGTGTCCTTGTCCAGTTTTGGGATGAGTGTAATACTGGCTTCATATAATGAGTTAGGCAATGTTTCTTCCCTTTCTATTTCATGGAACAGTTTAAGGAATGTTGGTATTAGTTCTTCTTTGAAGGTCTGGTAGAATTCAGCTGAGAGTCTGTCAGGTCCTGGAGTTTTCTTTTTTTGGAGACTCTTTATTGGTGCTTCAATTTCAAGTTATAGATCTGTTTAGGTGGTTAATATCATCTTGGTTCAATTTTGGATGGTCATAAATATCTAGAAATTTGTCCATTTCTTCAAGATTTTCAAATTTATTGGAATATAGGATCTCAATGTAGTCTCTGATAATTCCCTGGATTTCTGTGGTGTTTGTTGTTATCTCCCCTTTTGCATTTCTGATTTTACTGATTTGGGTCTGTTCCCTCATTTTAGTCAGATTTTCCAGGGGCTTATTTTTTTTTTCAAAGAACCAGCTCATTGTTTCATTGGTTCTTTCTATGCTTTTTTTGGTGTCTGTTTAATTAATTTTGGACCTTATTTTTGTTATTTCTCTCCTTCTGCTTGTTTTGGGTTTTGCTTGTTCTTGTTTTTCTATGAGTTTGAGATATAACATTATTAGGTCATTTATTTGAGATCTTTCTGTCCTTTTAATATATGTACTCATGGCTATAAACTTTCCTCTTAGGACTGCCTTTGCTCTTATAGATTCTGGTAGGTTGTGTTTTCATTTTCATTAGCTTCCGGGAACCTTTTGATTTCCTCTCTTATTTGTACTAAAACCAACTGATCATTGAGCAATGTGTTATTCAGCCTCCAATTATTTGCATGTTTCATGCTGTTGTTTTCGTTACTGTGTTCTAGTTTTAATGCATTGTGATCAGGTAGAATGCAAGGAGTTATTTCTATTTTCTTTTTGTTGTTGTTGTTTATTTATTTACATGTGCATACATTGTTTGGGTCATTTCTCCACCTTGCCCTCCTCCCCTACTCGTGCCCTCCTCCCCTCCTCAGTTTCAGGCAGGTCCCATTCTGCCCTTATCACTGATTTTGTTGAAGAAAGGACATATGCATAATAAGAAAGACAAAGCGTTTTTGCTAGTTGAGTTAAGGATAGCTGTACAGAAAGATTCCTACTATTGCTTTCATGTACCCATGTGTTACGACCCATGTTGATTTAACTCTAGCTGATCTTTACCTTGGTTCCTGATCCCCTGCTCTACCGAGGCTTGGTTTGTGCCCTAAGATATTATCTATTTTGGAGAAAGTTCCATGGGCTGCTGAGAAGAATATATATTGTGCTGTTGTTGGATGAAACATTCTGTAGACATCAGTTAGGTCCATTTGATTTATGGTATCATTTAGTTCTAGGATTTCTTTGTTGGATGTTTTTGTTTGGATGACCAACCTATTGGTGATAGAGGAATATTAAAGTCTCCCATTACCACTGTGTTGGAGTCTATATGTAATTTTAAGTCCTTTAGTGTATGTTTGATGAAATTGGGTGCACTGACATTGGGTGCATATAGGTTAATAATTGTTATTTCCTTTTCATGTATTTCCCCTTTTATTAGTATGGTGTATCCTTTATCTTGCTTGATCAATGTAAGTTTGAAGTCTACTTGGTCTGATATAAGTATTGCTACTCCTGCCAGTTTTCAGGGGCCATTGGTTTGGTAAATCTTCTTCCAGCCTTTCACCCTAAGCCAGTGCTTGTTTCTGCCAATGAGGTGTGTCTCTTGTAAACAACAGATTGTCAGATCTTCCTTTTTAATCCAGTTTGCCAAATGGTGTCTTTTGATGGGGGAGTTGAATTTGTTGACATTCAGTGTGAATATTGATAGGTATGTAGTGATTCCTGCCATTTAGTTGTTTTTGATGTGTAAGGATTTGATTATGTGCAGTAGAATTAATGCTATTCTCTGATTCCTTGTCTTTTCTTCTCCTGTGGTTT